CTGGCCTGCCAGCCCCCACCCCAAATACTGGCATGCCAGGAACAGCCTGCACCAAGGCTCTGTGGCAATGGTACACACCCATCAGCTGCTGTCCTAGATCATCTACACCCATACACAGGATCCAAAACCCAGTCAGGGATGGCAGGAGCACGTTTTTATCACTATTACAGTGTAGCTCGTTAGGCCTAATGAAGAAAGGAGCACTGAGGCCAGGTACAGACTCTGCTTTCCCTCCAGCACTGCCCCACTAGCCTTCTCCTGCCTGGGCACATCAGCACATGCTGCACTGTGGGATGTCTCCCCAGCTTTTGTCCAAGCTGCCCAGCGTGCAGGGCAGAGAGATAACCTCCATCACAGGAGAGGCATGGCCACAGTGTGGGCATGCACAGGGAGCAAGGAAAAGTACAGGGAGCAGCACCCAGCAGCAAGGGAGAAGGCAAGGAGGATGAGCTGGAGGGAGGGGAGCATGCCAGCAAGGTTAAAAGGGAAGGAGGGAGGGAGGGAGAGAAAAAGAGAGAAGGAAATGGAACAAGGCTCTCCCTTTCTCCTCAGAGCTCCAAAAAATGCCCTGCTCTACAACCAGAAACATGTCCCATATATTTCACACCTCTGCCTCTTTATCTTTAGCTTTGGGGATCAGCATGGATCATGCACAGGGAGGAGGGGGCCAGCTCTGTCCAAAGCAGTGCTGAGGCAGGAAGTTTTGTGGGATGAATGAGCAGGTAGGAACATAACCCAAAACATTGTGTAGAAGCAATATACATCCCTCAGCCTGCAAGTGTAACTGCACAGCCCACACTCCCACTAGAAAACAACTCTCTATTCAGAGCCCCTGCATCTGCTTTCAATCAAGTATTACAAAGGGAATTAACTATACCACAGGCAACAACAGCAATGAGGCTTGAGAGCATCTCTAGACAGAAAAGGTCTTCGTGTAGACATTGCAAGATCTCTTATAGAAACTAGGATGAATGTGTGTGTGTACAATATGTTTGAGGAACAACATGGTGAAATGGCTTGCATTTCACACCCAACAATCCTCTACCTTCCTGTTCAACACAAGATAATTTTTTCCTCACCTAGGCCACTCTTCCTCAGTTTATCCTCCTTACCCTTGTTTGAAGATCATCTGTGCAAATGGGCTCTGTAACTAGGAACAGGACAATAACCACAGAGCTTGGAGCAACCTCAGGGCCCTGGTTTCAAGAGGGAGGGACTCATACCTGCATGGGGAAACCACAGGCTTTGGTTGCCGGCACCGTGCCTTGCAAAATCAGAGCCTGAAAGAAAAGTGCCACAGGGAACCAGCGGATCCCTCCTACACTACCAGAAAGCTCTCAGTAGTCTTACCCTGATTTCCACACTGCATTCACCCAGTGAAGGTGCTCTAACCTCTCTCCTGGTATGACAAAAATGTTGGCCCTTTGGGCCACCAAAGTTGAACTCAGCATCAGAGGTATGACTACAGTGACTGTAAGAGGGAATAAAAGACCACAGATCTGTCACCTTCGTACCTACAGCACCAGAACGGAGTAGCAGTTCAAGGACAGAAATCTTTACCGCCATCATAAACTGTATAACCTGTGTTTACCCTGCCTGAAATACCAGCTGTTTCATCCACCCAAGAAAGCCTAGAAACTTCAACTAGATGAAGAAAAACAAGGTTATTTTGCTATTCTGACCATACTGCTCTGCTGGTAACAGGTTCTAATAGACTTTAACTTTCCCTCCCTTTCCAGTCCTTTACTTTAAACTATTTCTTTTGGGGAGTTTGGGGTTACTAAACTAAATACCACAAAGAGAGAGGCTGCAGCCTATGCAGAATAAATGATTTAAGAACTGGGCTTGGCTGATTTATTTTTTCCTCTGTCTTGGAGATAAAAAGAAGGAACACATTTTAGTAATCCCTGCTCATTTTCATGGCCATTCTTTCACCTGTAACTCAAATAATGAAGTCATTTGTTATTTATATTGCATTTTCCCCTCCATTCTAGATTTTTAACGATCTGACCCTTCTTTATGGCCGTGACAAAGCCTGAAAACGGTGTGGACTTCCAATAATTGAACGATATAAGCAAAAATCTTTAACTGGAATGAAGCAGATGTTAGCTTCGTGCAGTCCCCTAACTTGATTATTCTTTGGACATGTTAGACAAGCATTAGTGATTGATAATGACGCTAATTAACCCCTTTCCTTTCCAAAACAGTCAAACAATGCCAGCAGGATTCTGCAAACAACATGCACAAAATACAGCATATATCAGTATCTGTTCAAAGTGGATCAGGGACAGAACTTCATAGTCTAGTGCTTGACAAAAATCTTACCCTGCTGACACCAAGCCAGCTCCAAATCTTCTCTAAGAGTTAACAGCTCCAGCTGCTTGCAGGACAGGGAGCAGAAACAACCCTTTCACACAGAAGAGGTGCACAGGACAGAATTGGAGGCACCATTTATTTTTTATACTTCCAACCTTTCACATTTGATTATCAAGCCACTTTAAATCACTCTTCCCTCACTAGCTGGGATGGGTTTCATATTGCTCCCTGTCCAAAGGGCGCTGGTTATTTTAGCTGCACTTTGCAAATGCGAGGGCTGAGGCTCTGGGAATCTGGTCTGGGCTGAGACATGCACGTACTGAGGAGGGAAAGGGAAGTGCACATTCTGGAATTTAAATGGGAGGCAGAAGACAAGTAAACAAACAAGGAGCTGATCTGATTATGCAGTCGAATTTATCATGGACAATAAAGAAATTGCCTTTAAATGTAAGGGTTTGGATAACTGAATACTCCTAGCAAGTGAATAAAATGTATTCAATTAACTAAAAACCTTGTGCACTTCTGAACTGAAGTGGAATCGACTGTAATTGATTTATTTGAAACCAGAGGTTAAGGACTGAATTAGCTAAGTACAACTGGGTATTTCAAGCCACTGACTTCTCAAATGTCAAATCCCTTCTATTTTAAATATTATTTCAGCTGCGGGGCATTGCTGTCCTGATGGCTGTTCCTCCAGTTAAATCTCAAATTATATTAATATTTGATTTTTGGAGGGTGGGGTAAATTACGGTACAAAGAGGAGGGCTGTCCTTGTTCACGGTGAAGAGCACCAGGCTGTATTTTGGTTCACATGTAGGAATTAGCTTAGCATGGCAGCTATGGTCTAACATTCAGCCACCACTCACCCTCATTTCACCTGATCTGGGGGGAAAAAAAACCAACAGATTTTTGTTTGGTATATAAAAGCATGACCTAGAATTTCACTGCTGCACCTCAATCACAACGTTAAAAATGCACCCAAAGAACGCTAAAGTAATTAGCACGTTTTGGTAACTGCATATTGGTCACAGCAGACGAGGCTGAACCAAAGCTAGTCTGATTTCCATTATCGCCTGTAAAATCCTTCCTTAGAAATAATAGTAATAAAGAAATCCATGCAAGGTCATTTCATTTCTAGTTTTTGGTGGCTTGCTAATGCAGCAGCAGGATGTTTAAAATGTGCTCTCCTAGCATAAAGTAGCTAATTATATCTTTAAAACATTATTTATTATTACCTTATAATGTTCTAGCATAAGACTGCTTTATACATTGCCCAGTATAAAACGATTATATTGGGTACAGGTTTCAAAAAGTAACAAGCATCTGTAAATCCAGATATGAATGAATGGTATTTAATAAGATTGTTTTTGTTTAAAAATGAGTATTTATGTGTTGCTGTAGAAAGAGCAGCAATGTATTGCTGTTTATGAATGCTATTGTGCCTGAGGTTAGGATCCCACACACAATCTGAGATGCAGCCAAGAAAAACAGCCCTGATAGACAATGCTTCACTTCACCTGCTACAATACTGTGCATTTCATTTATGTCAAGAATATGTACAGTTAGGGTTCATTCACCTCATTATTTTGTTACATCTACTTTACGGTTAACCAGTCTCTCTTGGAAATAATAAATAACTGTTTTTAAAACAATTGCAGCTTTGCATTCAAAAGATCCACTTTCAATTTATGAAAAAAAATATTCACCATTTTTATAAACTAGCTGGCTCTTGAAAATAGAATTTAGACTCCACCAACTCTCTTTCTGCTTGGAAAGATTGATTTTACACTGCTTTCCATAAGTAGATTACCAAAGCAAAATGAAACATCTTGGGCTTTATCTAATGCTTTGCTTCACCAGCTCTACCAAACGTCAAAATATATGAGTAAATGTTAATTCTCTGTGCAGCTTTATTGTAAACATCTCCCTCTTAACCTCCTCAATTTCTGCCTGAGTGAAAAGGGGGGAAAAAAAGGAGAGAGACAAAGTCAGGGAGGAAAGGAAAGAGAAAGAGAGAAAAATCAGTCACCACCACCAAAATACCATCAGCACTTAAAGGAAACCCTCTCTTTAAAATGCCTTTACATTCTAAACTGCATTAAGTCTCCCTTCCTATGATATAACATAATCCAGCCTGATCCTGACTTCACCTACCCTCCGGGCCAAAGAAAATAGATTCAAAATCTGAATTCTCACATGTTTTTACAGCCCGTCTTCAAGATGTACACTCCATTTTTTTTAAAGCGAAGTTCCCTATTTCACAACTGGTTTCCACAAGAAGAAACTCAAGATAAAAATTTCAGTCCTTTATAAACTGACACAACCATCTCAAAATGTCAGTCTGTGCATTCCACTAAAACACGAACCATCAATCAGAAATAATCTGTCTCCTGCAAGATTTCACTAAAGTTCACAACCGTGAGATGATTTTGTTGGCATCGACTACGGAGCTTTTCTATTTAGTTGAGGGGGAGGGAGCACCCAGCTCTGATTCATCAGTACATAATTTTTTTTATAGCATTAATTTTCAGTATTTGCTCAGTAATGATTCTTTTTAAAGTGTCCTTCTTGAGATGTGTTTTTTAATCTCTGCTCTCCGTTAGGACAAGTACATGCACAAAATTTTATAGGCTTATAATTCTGTACGCTATATATATACATAAATAAAAACCTAGAGGTCAACATAAATAAAATAAAACTTTATTTTTTAAATAAAATTATGTTTTGGTTAAAGAAAAGATAGTGTGTCATTTTGTTAGTAGTACAGACAATTTTTTATCCAAAAGAATACATTGTGCTTTATTGTGTCATTTGTCTGAATACAGACTCAGTGGAATATCTAAATGATACCCTGCTCTGAACTCCAAGTTGAAAGTAAGTTTTTATTATACTTGAGGGAAACAATGGGTTCAGCTGCTTATTGCAAGGAGCAATTGTCAAGGGAGAGTTAAACTCAATTACTGTAACCATACTGAATAAAAAATACTGCCAAGAACAAAAATACGCCTGGGTAAAGACAGCTACTGAATAAAAAAATCGACATAAAGCGTATCAAATATTTATTTATCTGGGCAACAAAGGACTATGATACATTGATAGGCATGGAAACTACTGCCGGCACAACTCAATACAATACAACTATAACTGCTTCCAATATGGCCAGTGGAAATACAGGATACCAGGTGGTCCCGAATGTTTGAAGTTCTTTGGGAAAAAAAAAAAAAAAAAGAAAAGAAAAAAAGCAGAAAAATGAAAACAAAAGAAAGGGAGAAAGAAAAAAAAAGAGGGGGAAAAAAAAGGAAAGAAAAGCTAAATCTGTTTTAAAAGACAGTATTAATTTATTGCTCTGTTGGTGCTTTCGGGAGAAGGACAGTGGATAAAAATAACTTCTTTCATTTTCCACAACACATAAGGGTTGTAAAACCACTAATATGTTTAAAAACCTTGCCAGGGTCCAACATCACTTTATTTTATCTTCAATGAGAAACTAAATGTCATACTAATTATATATAAAAATTCATGGTTTTTTATTTGTTCAGCTGCTTCATTGTCGCCTTTAACATGCTACAACAGGGCTAAAAATGATGAATCCCAGAGAAAAACCCCCAAAAAACCTCTGATATCTAAATAAGTACCATGAACCACATGATGAACTAAGAGGGGAAGATTTAAAACCCACTAAACAAGAGGTAAACGAGATCACCAGATAAATAAAAAAAGGCTTAAAACAAACTCACCATATTTACAATTCCCATTAAATTACACATAAATAAATATATACATACATGAACACTGATTCCCTTATATAATAACCGTGAATCGTGTTGCAATAGAAAGTTCAAGTTGGTCGCTTTACCTTGGACAGGAAAAAGTTCTACAACTGAAGATATGACATGGAACCGCTTGTGTTTTGTGTTCAAGTTTATTCACAATACTGATAAAATGTCATCAGTCCTTTTTGCCTTTCGTATGTCTCCTGTTGCTGTTGTACTTTTTCGCTTTTTTTTTCTTTTTTAATATGGCTACAATCTTAACTGAAGTTTATGTAAGGGAAGGTGGTGATTCAGTCCGGTGAAGCTCATAGAATTTTTAAGTATTATTTATTTCTTTTTGTTTGTTTTTTTTTTTAATATATTTTTAGAAAAAAAAAGTCCTTTTCTTTTTTGTTTTGTTTTTTTTTTGTTGTTGTTTTTTTTTCCTCCTTTTGTTTTATTTAAAAAAAAGTTCACAAACTCAAGACAGAACTTTTTTTCTTTGCTGGCTCCGTCCCCCTGTTCTGTTCTCTTAGGCTCCAAACTGGGGTAAATCGATGGTGGCAATGGGAGTAGGGGGTGGATTTAAGAGGGACCAAATGGAAGTGTGGATACTGGGAAGGGGTGTGGAGAGAGGGCAGAGCAGTCCTGCGGAGTCAGAGAACAGGACTGGCAGAAGGACGCTCATTCTGTTGCTGTAGCCTGGGGTGCTGGGTGCAGGGGAGAGGGAGGGAGATGAATGGATCGATGGGCTATGAGGGGGAAGGGAGAGGAGTGTGTGTGGGGGGGGGGGATCCTCACTTTCGGTGCTTCTCCTCTTTGTCGCCGCTTTTGGTGCTGTTGTCTGTGTGGCTGTTGGGATTGTTGCTGAGGTACATTTTGTCCATGGCCTTGAGCGCCTCGGTGAGATAGTTCTGCAGGGCGGTGACGGCAGCACACACCGCCGGGCTCCCAAAGCCGTGCGAGATGAGGTTGAAGTGGGTCAGGCAGCTCTGGATGCCCGGCTCCAAAATGGGGTTGGGCCGCGAGTTCCCCAGGGGAGATCGGTCCTGAGCCAGCAGGTCGGTGAACTCTTTACAGATCTGTCTGTAGCATAAATGGAGCAGAGAGACGGAGGGAGGGAGCAAGGGGAAGAGAGAGGGAGGGAAATGAACCATCACTGGTGGCAGCAAAGCCTGTGCATTCTCCCTGCCAGATTGCACAAGCCCCTGGATCAAGGGGGCTGCTGCCCCCGAGTGCAAACACACTCTCTCACCTCTCCCTCTCCTCTCTACGCATCCTTCCCCCTAATTCTCACATCTCCCCAGCATGTACAAACCTCTTCCCTTCACCTTGCATGCACACACAACTGCACACCACATTATGCCCTGGCCCCAGCCAACACACAGGCAAATAACAGGCACGGGAGAGACACCCACCTCTTGCCTATCCCTGCCTATCTCCACATCTCAGCTCCCCAGCACTGTCTCCACAATCACACATTCCTGCTCAGCTAGAGTTTGGAGCACATACGCAGTTTAAAGTTTTCCAGCAGGCTGGAAGGTAATAGATGGGCTGCGCTATCCAAAGGCAGGTTAAGGGATTTATCCACATCTTGGAAGATCCCTTTCCTTTGGGGGTGAGGGAGAGGAAACTGGAGAGAGGTATAGGCCTCTTTCTTCACAAGGCTAAAACACACCTGAGTGCCAGGAAGAATGAGTGAGGGCAGAGAGGGGACTTGAGGCTTTAAATTAGGGTATTCTGAAACATTTATATATGTACATCTCTATCTCCAAATCCAAAGGGACCTTTCCACAGAGGGGAAAGCTGACGCTAACCAGGGTCTGGAAATTTCCTTCCAGGGAGGTGGAAAGGGAGGATACGAGGGCACAGTGCAGAAAATAGATTATATCATCCACTCACTGCACAAATGGTTGGGGAAATAACACACCTTATAGCAAGAGAGCTGAGAGGCGTGTTGAAATAGTTGATATTCTAAAACCCATGTTAATGTCTTCCAGCCATAAAGTGTCTCCCATCTTCAACCTGTGCCCTCTGGCACTGTGCCCTTTGGTGACACCTCCATTGGTAATTAAGGGCTACTAAACAACCCTTTTAATTTCCAGCAAACATACCATAACAGTCATTTTCTTTTCACGCACCACCTGGAAATCTAGGCAGCCCCAACAGTGACAAACTCCACTAGCATTTTAACTGCATACAGATTGTCATTTAAAATATATGTTTAATATCCCTATATTTGCTAAGTAACAGAGCTGCTTAGGCAGAAAGAACCATTGCGGATTTTAATGAACTGAAATCAGTATAACATGCCAGTTTTATTTTACTCTCAATGGGAAGCCTTCCCTTTCTACCTAAATTGATAAGCTAAGTGAACAGGCCCAGAAAATGTTTTGCTCTGAAGAATTACTCCTTTTTCTGTAACTAAACACCCACCCACAATTTTCACAACTCGCTTTCAGTGTAATCTGCACAAAGTGACTTGATGGAAACCAAGCTGGCTTATAGAGTTCTCCTATATCAGGAAGGCAAATACACCCCCTCACAATTTGCGAAACCATCAACCACTGGTTATGTGGCAAACAAATATGTTCACAAATAAAAGCCCCAAACCCGGGTTTGTTCCCCTCCCTCATTTCTGAGCAACATGCCAGAAAGTTAAATGTCTTACTTTGTAGCTAGAAGCATGTTTTTTCTTGTGACTTGCTCGTTTGGATCGGAATGTTGTCGGTTGAGAAATTCAGCTACTGCTTTGGCAGGAAATTCTGTCTCACAAACGTACCCAAAATCTCTAGCTAGATGTACTGCTTCTCCTGAATAGGGAGTCATGGGTGGAATGGAAAGAAACACACAGCTCATCAGTACAAATCCTACAGAGGCAAAAATCCATTAGAAAAAAACCCCAAAACCAACTACATTCTACTTGGGCTTTTCCTCTAAAAGGCTTGGACTTTTTCTCTTTGACAAAGGTAGGGCAAGAAATGCTAATTACATCTTATCTTTCAGGAGTTTTCTTTGCTTCAGACAAAGGCAATGGAAATGTGTATTTTCATGACAATCGTTACAAGTGACATCTCACATAAGGATTTTTAAAAGTTTACAGTTGACTAACAGATACTTTTAGACAGACAGGCTCCATCCACCTAGAATGTGTGCTTTGATTTACATATCCATACCTATAGAGAGCCATTTATGTACTTTTTATTCACAGCTATTTACTCTGAAAATGTGTTTGCCTCAGCCACATCTCTATATTATTTTGCAATGCATCAATGATTAATATTGATCATAATTACTCCTAGAGCTGTTCTAAATAAAATGCATTAAACAGCTAAGTGTTTAAAATTTAACTTGATCGCATATAATTATATGTTCACCCCCAAACGATTAACCATGAGAATTTTAGGGTCATTCCACCGAGTCTGTCTGTTTTGTTGATTTTCAAATCTTTGGTTTTAATTTCCTGAACCAGTTGGTTTTTACTGCAGGGCTTCCTGCCATTAGCTTTAGCTCCGGAAGAACGCATGCGCCAATTAGAGCTTCAAAGCCTCAGTCCAGTGAGCTTGTTTCCATAAAATGGAGCGGATCATAAACAATAACAGTACCTAGAAAGTGCCTCATCGCTACAGGACTCAAAGCCCCAGCAATGTTTATACTATCATCCCCCCAAAATTAGCCACCATAGCTAAGTTATCTGAAGATCGGGCCTCTGGTTTTGTTTTTTTAAAAAATCATTCTTTTAAAGCCCTTGTATGTGAAAGCCAAACAGAACAATAGATTACCATAAAACCTTCTCCATATTCATTAACATCACAAATAGTGTTAAGCATCTACCAAATCTAGACTTTTTACAAGTTTTGCCCTCGTGATGTGTTAATGATATCGCAAAGCCCTTTCAAAAACATGAAGATGCGGTAATTTTCACGCAATATAAATATAGTTCGTTCACTAATCCTGATGTTTAAAGCCTGGCATCGCAGCACTTCTTTCCCCTTCCCCTTTGAACATGAAACATTTCTCGTAGACCGTGAAGCAAAAACAAAACAGATTCCCGCCTACACAACCAAACTTAAGCTAAACCTGCGCAGCTCAGGCTGAGTTTAAAAATGCTTTGCAAAATGAACCAGTCTAAAACGCAGTAGAACCCATAAGTCAGGGGAAAGGAGAAGATCTATTTGCATGCCTTGGGCATACTTTGTGTCAATTAGTGTGCAAGAGCCACTGTTTCAAAACTAAATAACTGTATACGCTTGAGGTTCCCACCTTCCGGTACAGACGGCATAGGACATCCCAAAGCATTAAAAGTAACTTGCACCTTTTCTGGCCAGAGCAAAGTAGAGGAGAACGATACAGCCAAAGGAACATGTGTTCTGAAAATGAAAACCAACAGGGAGTGGGGGCTGGTGGTGGTGCAACTTTGAGGCTTTCAGGACACCATTAATTCATGGCTGAGGTCAAGGATTCCCAAATTAATTCAGGAAGTAATGGTCATGCATTTCTCAAATGCAGATGTCAGAAAAGTTAAATGATTTACTGTTATGTGGCTGCAGGCTGGGAAGGAGAACAAACTTAAAGTAGCTGCAGTTTCTGACATTTAAAATTGCTTGGCTGTCCACCTGTGGCAGAAGGACAGCAGTGAAGTATCAGAGGCTCTGCTGCCTGTAACTTCCAACTCAACACTCGGGGGTCTCTTATGGAGCTAAGCCTGCAGCCCCTCTTCACAGGCATCCTTCCCATGCTGCTCCCAATGAGATCTGCTTACTAGGTGGAAGGATTACTCACTTGAAAGCAAGATGGGGCCCTGAAAACATCTCTCAGAAGCTTAAAAGCAAATAAACCGCAGAACGCATTACTGAGTCTGCAGGACTCACTCAAGCCCGTTTCAGGTTAAAAAAAAAAAGCAAAGGCACACAATTAATATGTTCTTTTTCTAAGACATAGAAAATAAAGCCCTTCCAAATGCCAATAAGCAGCACTGACTTTGGGGAAAGAAAAAAAAGCCATGAACAACCAAACATCAAGTCTTCTCCCTTTTGCCAAAAGCAATAGGCACATTTTCCAAACAAGCTCTCCCAGCTCTTTGAGTCACTTACCCTCCACGAGTGATGTGAGCAAGGTAACGTTAGCAGCTTTACGCCTCCCGGCTGGCAGGTTTAGTCCTATTTTGTCCAGTTTCTCCCTCAGAGATCTCCCTCCGTTTTTAGACTTTGCCCTGCTCCACACAAAAAGGCATTGAGAAATGGGGCTTGAGGGGGACACATGCTCCTGCTTTAGCTCCCGCCCACAGATCCCCCCAACACATCGCCTTCCCTTGGAGGGGGGTAAAGGGTTTGGGCACATGGAATGGGATAAATGGTTGTGGGTGGCTGAAGACCAACTGTTGCTGAAAGCTGAGTCTCAGACACACGGATGGTTCTTTGGATGTTTCCATGTCTAGGGAACAGGGGCCCTCACTAAAGTCTGGATCAGGCCAGGGCTGCTGGGGAGCTCTGAGGTAGCTGCCTCCAAGGTGCCATGGACTCAGGGGCAGCTTCTCCCCAGGTGTTAAAGGAAGAGGAGGATTTGTAAGGCTGGCATCGCTGCCCTCACACCAAACCCTATGTGGCCCATCTATGGCTTTTTAGCAGAGCCCTGTACTAAGTGCTAAGTGGGCCTGTGGAGATGCGAGCTGCCTTAATTAATTCCGGATGTTATTCCCTGCCCGGGCGCTGCCTAATCGCCTGGGTGAGGCCACAGAGGTGGGAGCCCATGGCAGGGTGCTGGCCAGCAAACCACTCCTATGGGGCACGGGAGTGTCTGTGTGGGGTGTCCATCGCCGTGGCAGGGGAAGGGACACACAGGGGTCCCCAAAGCGGGGCACTGGGGACGACACAAGGCTGCACGTTGCCATGGCGACAGCGCCCGGCCCCCCCCCCCCCCCTCCCGCGGCCTGGCGGTGCCTCCCCGGCGGCCGCGCGTGCCCCGCCCCCTGGCGGCGGCCGCCGCACTTCCCCCCGCGCCGCCGCCCCGCGTGGGCGCTCGCATCCCTGCCTCCCTCCTTCCCTCCTTCCCCGCCGCCCTCCCTCCCGCACGGCATCCCGCCTCCTCCCGCGTCCCCCCGCCCCTCACCTCCGGAGCACTCCGCCCAGCAGGGAGGCGTTGAGGCACTCGGGCGGCGACAGGCGTCTCTGCACTTCCGCCACCGTGACCTTGTACTTGGAGGTGGAGCTGAGCAGCGAGAGGCGGCCCGGCACCGAGCAGAAGACCTCGTTGGGGTTCACCACCCCGCCGAAGAGCGCGTCCTTGTTGATGGGGATGGAGGAGACGGCGTTGTTGTTAGACTTGGAGAGGGACACGGGGCCTGCAGGGAGGGAGGAGCAGGGAGGTGAGGGTGAGGAGCGGGCGGGGAGCCGGGGAGGGAGGGGGAAGCGCCCGAGCCGCTCGCTGCGGCCAGCCCCGGCCCCGCACCGCCCGCGGGGCAGCGGGGAGGGAGCGGGGGCGCCCCTCCGCTTTCTCGTCGGGGGGCGCAGGGAGAGAGCGGGACAACCCTCGACAGCAGCGGAGAACCCGGCGGCCCGCGCAGCCCCGGCCCGGCGCACGCTGCCGGTGAAGCCCGTCGGTGCGGGCCGTGTCCGGCGGCCCCGGGCCGGGAATCGCGGCTGCCGCGCTCTCGAAGCGCGGGCAGCGCCCGGGCAGCGGCGCAGCTCCCCAGAGGCCCCACCAGCAGCGCGCAACTTCTGGCGTGGAAAACCCGTAACGCAGCGAGGAGCCTGCACCCCAAAATATAGCCCGGCCCCTGCCCGGCGGCGGCGGGCGGGGACGTGCCGGGTCGTGCCGCCGCTCGGCTGGCGGTGCCCGCCGGCCTCGCGTCCCGGCCGCCTTCCCTTCCTCCTCCTCCTCAATCCGCACCGCTTGGCGGGCGCAGTCCAACCAAGCGGGGGGCTCTCTCCGTTTTGGATAGATCACTTGTGACATTAATAGCTCTGGGAAGGCTAATAGATACAACAGGAGTTAAACGAACTCTTGAGATTACTAATAAAAGAGCCAATTATCATGTCGACTTGGAAAGAGCATCTCTTAAGATTTATCCCTTGCACATCTAATTTGACGTGACAAAGGCTTTACGGGGAGGGGGTGGGGGGGCAGAATGAAACTTCAGGTTCGCTGGCTGTACAGCTATTAGGGTTAGAGAAGAGAGTGCCTCTACTCAGCATCTCTTCCGGTGGTGGCCAGGGTACCCAAATTCCAGGCGATCGCGCAGCCGTGGCACCCCTCAGAGCAGGCAGGAGCTAGCTATGCCTTCAGCCCTGCCCATTTTACTCCAACAGCAGCTCACTACATAGCATCCAAATGCAAATCCATCGCTTTCCACCGAGAATTGCCTTTGCAAAATGCCCTGTGCCACCTTCAGTAATACTTCGGTTGTCCGAAGAAAGATGTGAAATGAAAATCGACTGAAAACATGCAATAAATATTTTGCTCGATTTGGGGACCGGCTTCCAAGCAAATCAATTCGAAGTGAAGCAAGCGCACGAAGCCAACGAAAACCAAAGCACCCTGACCGACAGGCATCAGTTTCAGAAACTGGCCCCTTGTTCTCCACCAGCCCACCTCATCACCGTCGTGATTTAAGTAAGAAAACCCGAAGGAGGGGGAACAACAATTTCACTTTCTCAGCCCCGTTTACCAACAACGATTCAAGCCCACTGCTCAGCTAGATGCATGGGTCAGACCACGAAACCCAATTGTTTGCTAATGCACTGAAAGACCGGGTCGGATTTTCTAGATCATCTACTAACATTTTTCCTCGTTAATGACAACAACAATTAAAATAGCCGACAAACATGGCCATTTAAAAGGGCGCATTTCAACCCGCATCGCCCATTTTTCTTTCTCTGCTTCCAATATTTTGGCCAACAGTACATGCCAGAGGAAGGAGCCCGGGGCCGGGGGGGCTGGAGGGGAGGGGGGGGGAAGGCCGGGTAAGTCCTCCATTCGAGCAGTCCCCAGCCTGTGACGACATGTTTGGTATGCGCAAGGAAACGGCTTACCTTTCTTAATTACAGTTTGATCTGGGATGTTAATACCGGGGTCTTCTACGTGCTGCAACAAAAGGAACAGGCAGGGATGTCAGTGTACAACCACAACAAAAGGCAGGGAGGGCCGAGGTGGGATGGGGTGCGGGAGAAGTTGTGTCCCCCCCTCCCTCCTTCCCGGGCACGGTGTGGGGAGGGAAACAACAGATCCTGCACGGGGAGAGGGGGAGAAGAGGGGATTTGCGGGGATTTCCTTTATCGGGAGGAATCCTGCATCCCTCCCAGCTCTTTCCCGCGATCCCCAAGAAAAATATAATAAATCACTCACAAACCCCCGGGCCCCAAGTGGCCTTCAGCTTCTGCGGGCTCACTCATCCCGTCCCTTCCCTCCTCCCCGGGAAGCAGCCCCGGCCCGGCCCGACCTTTCTCCGCCGCTACGCGCTCTCCCGCGCCCGCGGGAGGGAAAGCACAAAGGAGCGGGGACCGGTGCGGTGCCGGGGGGGCTCACGCATCCTGCGCGGCCCCGGGCTCCCCCACTATTGTCCCCTCACAGGTTCCGCGGTCGCGCTACAGCTGGGGTTCGCGCGGCGGAGTCACGACGTGATTAGAAAGTCAAATGAAATCATGTTTTCTAATTCCAAAAACTGACAGGCAATATAATGTCTGGCTGTGTTTACAAATTAACACCAGTGCTGCTGAGATAGAAGATTTCGCAATCGTTACAAAACCCAGGCATTACCATTTAAAAAACTATTACTTCCTTCTCTAGTCTTTGTCCAACAATAATACTGATTCTAACATTTTCCATTCTGTCTTGGATTTATGCTCCTGTTAATTGTGCCTGATCTCAATGATTCCGGGTGGATGGTACTAAGTTGCTTTATTACAGGTTTTATTATACTCAATGCTCTCATTTGTAACTTGCCTAAAGTGCTTCTGGATTTAAGTATAATTAAATTGAGAAATGTTCAGAAATGACTACTGCTGCAGTTCTTGTGTTTTAACTATATGGGGAAATATGATCCCTTTATGCATGCACCCTAAACCCATAAAGTAAATGTAGTGTGGCATAATACTTTTATTTGTGTTATTTCTACACATATTCCATACAGGGAGGACTGTTAAGTTTAAAATCCCACAGAGATATTTATGATTAAATAATTTTCACCATCTACTTGACTTTCTTAAACATTTAGCGGTCGTTTTTATTAAAGATTAACTGTTGCAGCAACGGAAATATTAAAAAGACGACCCTCCCAAACCAGATTTTTGTAGAGGATTATTAAAAAAAAAATAGATAAAATACTCTTAAAGGTACATCCTAAAAGATACATCCTCTTATTTTATACTTTCCCTCATGAAGCCTGCTGATTCAATTTTACAGAGAAAAAAATGGTTGGGCTGGCTCAAGGATTTAAACCAGATGGCATTTGGTTTTCACAAAGTATAGCAATGCTATTAATCCATAGATCTGCAGAGGAGGCTTCCAGAATCAGCCCACTGCCACGGAGCACAACTGAGGAGAGGGAGAATTCAAGAGAACATTTTAGGTCATGTTCTTCCTACAGCAATCAGGGGCTTGCAGTCAACAAATTAGTTTATTCTTACGATTGCCTCCATGTTATTTTATATCAAGTTTAAAGAATTGACCTGCTTTTAACGGATCCAAATTGCTTACTAAATCCTCCACTTTGGGAAATGTATGCGTTTATTGCAAAACTGCTAAACACAACCAGCAATTTTCTGTGGCTAATTTAGCCAGATGAGGGCTGTAATAAATTCACTATTTTCCCCAAGTATAATTTACAAAAGATTTCAAAATGACCCCCAAAAATAGGTAAGTTCATCTGAACATTATCCTTGCAACATGAAACTGTACTCATTAAACTGTCAGCAAATATATTGTTGTAATATTTGATCCTGTAATTTGGGATGGCATTTCAGCAAAAATCACATCCAGATACCACAGTTCCCTCCTCCTCTTTCCTTCTGCAAGTCGAGCAGCTTCGGTCCCTCAGCACAAGCTCTGTGGGCTTTAATAAATTTATTGCCATGTTCTAATTCCATTTTCAGGGAGAAACCCAGAAAGATGAACTTTGATCATGACCAATCATGTTGCATAAGGCCACTTTCCTAACTGAACAATAGCCCTGGCTTGCTTTGTAAGTAGCCTGTGTGCTAATGTCATGCTTAATTAGAAATCATTTTTTAAATCTGTATTTATCGATAACAGAATTAGGTCCCCCAAATAAAGCATCCTCCAATAGGCTCTCAACATTTAATTTAATATAGGGTGTAGCAGGTCTGGCTCAAATTCGATAACCTATAGCTAATGATTTATGAGGTCATCCCTTTGCACCGCTACTAAAAGAAGGTGGCAGCGTTTTAGTATACCTCTTCCCTGATTTGTCAATTAATTCCTTTAGAGAAGAGGGTCTGCCCATACCCTTTATAACTTTGGATGTGGTTATCCTATATGCAAATCCTGTAATCGCGGGATACCGATTTTTCCTTCTCTGGCCACTTTCACCTACTTTTTTTTTTCCCCGTTATGTTTGCCTGTGAGGACATTTAATGACATCTCGCATTTCAGACTTGTGTTTTTCCCAAGGCAGCAAGAAATCCCCAAATGCACAGCCCTGTGGTGATATTATATATTCTTCCAATCGTAACAGCTTATTGTCATTGAGAAGGAAAGATATTGTTAACGATGACAGTAATTTGATTTATTTATATTTTAGCGGGCGCGTTAGCGGGAGGCATTGCGCAGGGACGAGCTGCGAGAACCTATTGTTCTAGGTGGGGGCTTCACTTTTCCTGGGGGGCGGGAGGGAGTTCTCTTCTTCCCTCCCCGTTGCTTTTTTTTAGGGGGGGGGCGGGGGTCCCCCTCTGTCCCTCCCCTCCCCCTCCGTTGGGCTCCCGCGGGGAGGGGGACGGGGAAGGAGGACGGAGAAGAGGGACGAGCGGGCCCCGGGGCGGCCCCTTGGCTTACCGGCACGTCCTCGATGGCGTGGGGGATGGAGTGGAGGGGCAAGTCGGCCAGCCCCGAGCCCAGCCCGTGCGGGGCGTGCAGCAGGTCGTCATGCCGCCGGTAGTCCCTGCGTGGGTCGAGCCCCGAAAGCTGGTGGGGTAAACCCCGGTGCGTGTGGAGCAGCCCCGTTTCCTGGCTCTGCCTCTGTCCCGGCCATCCTGGGTGCTGGGGCTGCGGCTGGGCATGGAGGGGGTTGAGGCTGTACGGGTCGTTCACGTGGGAGTAGGGGTCCTGAGACTGGGGGTAGATGGGCTGGTAAGGGGGCGGAAAGTAGGGCGGCTGGAAGTCGGCGTTGGGGGTGTGGGAGAGCGGCGGGGCGCTGGTGTAGGGAGACTGACCCACGGTCCCCAACTGGGGTAGCCGGGCTGTCCCGTTGCTGGTACTGTCGTGGCGCTCCTGAGGTGGGGAGCGGGAGCGGGGGGGGGGGGGGGGGGGGGGGGGGGGGGGGGGGAGGAGGGGAGGAGGGGGAGGGGGAAGGAGGGGGAAAAAAGAAAAACAAAGATAATATCAAACTGATTCTCCTCAAAATCGGCTTGAAAAATTCATCTATTGGGCAAATATGGGCAAATCATCCTCTCCGAGGCGGAGAAAAGCAGATCTGGGGATTTCTCTGCCTCTGATTTCCCTTCACAAATAATTGAGAGGCACTCTCGCTCTTTAAATAGCAATAATAACGGCAATAATGATAACAGCAATAATAGCAATAATCACAACAAGACTGCTTATAATAATTAATAAAACATTGCGGCGATACAGCATGGATTTCCCAACAGATCGCGCCCCGGCATTTCAGGTGCAGGTATTTCCCGCAAATAAAAAGAATAATTCATAAGCGGGTATTATTGAAATAATAATTCTATCACAACCCAAAATCCTCTCTCTGACCCTGAACAGAACCGAGATAAATGTGGCTAAGATTACCAATTACGCGTCCCAAGAAAACCCTGGAAAATCCAAACCCACTGCCATTTTGTTACCAGAAGACACTGAAATAGGCTCCAAACAAACCGGTCGTTTCCCCCAAGAGTTTTAGAAATGTTTCGGGGCGAAAGCACTGACATGGTCCCCCACCTGCGGGGAGAGCCGTACCGGTGCCCGGCGGAACTCCCTGCTCGCCAGCGGGCGATTGCGGAGCAGAGCGGGCGGCGGTGACCCGGCCGCTGGGGAAGCGGAGGAATGCGGCAGGCAGCCGGGGGAAACGCCGCCGCCCCGACGGGCGAGCGGTGCCGAAGTGCGCCCAGGGTTTTCAGTAGGCTCTGCCGGCTTTCGAGGCCGGGCAGATGAGCCCACATGTATGTCCGGGGAAAAAAGAATGGCCTCCGCGGAGGAGGATTCGAGGGAAAGAACCATGATCCCGAAAAATGGAAACGAGAAAGCCGAAGATATTACGTTTGCAGGTGGCAAAGTGAAGGAGTCGAAGCGGTAGGGTCCAAGTAAAGCCTTTTGCCATTCGCTCGAAGCAGACCATAAAAAAAAAAAATAGGAGAGGGGGGAGAGAAGAAAAGAAAAAATAAAGAGAGAAGGGGAAAAATGTAAACCACTGAATTGTAAAAAATGAAGCAAAGGAAAAAAAGCCCTCTCTGCGAAGCTGTGTGCGAAACCCCCACCGCCACCGCCGACAACAATAGCAACACCCAGCGCGCACCGAACCCCCTCCGAGAGAAACGTGAAGCAACTCACCATAGCCGAAAAACTGTGCACTAACATCTGCGAAGAGTCGGGGTTTACAAGTCAAGGTAGAAAAAATAACAAAAAGGCAGAGGAAAGGGACCGGCGGAGCGCGCAGCCCTCGGCGGAGCCCCGCGGGTGCGAGCGCGGCGCGGGCGCGGAGGGAGCGCGGCCAGAGCCCGGCGCTAGGTGCGGGCGGCAGGACCTGGGCGCCGGGGCTGCTCCTGCACCGCGGGCGCGCCACGATAATCCATCAGAACTTGCACCGATCTCTGCTGCCCTTCATCTGGTGTTGCCAAGGCGAGCTCGGCTGGATGGGGGGGCGGGGTGAGTAAACATAGTTGGTTTTTTTTTTTTTTTTTTTTTTTTTTTTTGCGCCTGTTTTTTTCCTTTTTGTTTTGTTTTGTTTTTTTTTTTTTTAGCGTGTGTGTGTTTGTTTCTTAATCCTTTTTTTTCCTCTGTCTCTTTCTTTTTCTCCTTTGACTTAGCTGCTGCTTCACTTGAGCTCCTAATAACAGATCTGCTGCCTTCCTGGAGACTCCTAATAGCAGATATTCATGACTATTAATATTACACGAACACTTAATAAGGGAAGAATGGCTGGAAATCGAGCGTGAAGCGAGAAGGCAACTCAAGGCAGAGCCTGTTCTAAATGACGTCCATTGAATGAAGAATCAGTGTATCTAATCAGAGATGGGGGAGAGGGAGAGGGAGAGAGAGACAAAAAGGGAGAGAGAGGGAGCGGGAGAGAGAGAGGGGGCACATGCTGCTGCGTCTGACGAATCACAGGAAAGGGGCAACATTTTAAAAGGTTGCAGGGCATGCAAAAGTGAAAGAGAAAGAGATCCGGAGAGAGGGAGAGGGTGGGAGCCAGGAGGGGGGTGCAGAAGGGGGGGTGCAGAAGGGGGGGGAGAGTGGGAGAGACGGGCAGAATGAGAGAGGGGAGGGGGCGCGGGATCCCCCCTTCCTTCCTCACCTTCCCTTCGCTTCGCTTCCCTTCCCCTCCCTTCCCCCCCGGCTGCCGCCTCCCCATGTTCCCAGCCCCGCAGTCCTTCGCGGGCGCACCTCGGGCTGCGCCTGCTGCGCGTAGCCGGCCTCAAAGCCCAGGGAGAAGAGCGGCTGCTGGCTTCCCGCTTGGCTCTTGCCGCCCTCGGCCGCACCGCCGCCGCCTTTGCGCGGGGTGGGCTCCGCGGGACCTCCCGTCGCCGCCGCCCCGTCCATGCCTCGACGGCGCCCCACCAAGGGGCTCCCCTCGCCGCTGCCCCCGCGGCGGCCGCCCCGCGCCGCCGAGCCGGCTCGCCTCCGTGCCCCGCGTCCCGGAAACCGGCTGGGAAAGTTTTTTTGGGTGTCTCCCCCTCTGGGTGTCAGCCCTCCTCCTCCTCTTCCTCCTCCTCCTCCGGTTCGAGCCCAACGCCGAGGCCGGTGGGAGCCCGGGACAGGGGGGCTGGGGAGCCCAAGGAGCATCCGCCGGGCTCCCCGCGGCCCCCCTCTCGGAGGATCCGGGAAAAGACGGGGGAAAAAGGCAGGAGGCGGTGAGGCGGGGAGGGAAGGAGGGCGGGAGGCACGCGGGGGGGAGAGAGCAGGGAAAAGAGGCAAGGCGAGCGCTTCTCGCGGCCCAGACAAGCCGGGGCTCCGGCGCAACCCGTTGGACTGGCTGTGCAACTCCCAAACAACTCCCTTAAACAGGCACCGTTCCGCTCGCCGCCGCTGCCCCGCCGCAGCCGCCGCTCCGCCGGCGCCCGGCCCCACGCTCCGCCCGCCCGCCCCGGCCCCCCGGCGCTCCGGCCGCCCCGGGCGCTGAGCGCGACTGGCCGGGCTTTCATGCCTCCTTTTTGGTTTTATTTGACTTGGTATTTTTTTTTTCTTTCTTTCTTTTCTCTCTCTCTCTTTTTTTTTTTTTAAATATATTTTAAGGCAGGTCCTACTCCCGGCACGATAAAGTCACCCTTTTTCATCCTCTCTAGAAGTCACATCACACCCTCTCCAGAGGAAAACACGGAGTACCAACCCCACACGTACGCACAAAAACCAGGGGGCTCGGCGGAGCGGCCGCTGCTGCGTGTTTGGCAACACCTCGGTGTGAAGTCCCATTAACGCAAGGCAACAAAAGCCATTTGCGATGAAATCCACACGCTCACACGTGTGCACACTGGAACACCGATCCTGAGGGAAGGGAGGGGGAAGAGACACGCTTTCCAGCCGAAATGCAGCTGAGGAACATATATGTTTGTTTTCCGGGTTAAAACAAAAAAAACCCAACAAACAAACAAAAAACCACAAACCCCAATACCCCTGACATCTCATTCCTAGAAATCAAGCACCCGCCAGCGAGCGGATCTAAAAACTCAGCTCCCGCATCGGGAGACAGCTTCATCCCAAAGTCCTCGATCCGAGACTTGATCACCAAAACACTTAGTCGACGCTGAGCCTGGCGAATCCTCAGTTTCTTTCCCAAGCTACAGCATCGCCCAAAACAGCAGCAGGGTCGGACGGGAGAGTGCCCCCTTCGACCCAGAGGTGCGTGTCGGCAAGGCTCCGCCGAGGCTTGGGGGATCTTCCCGCGTGGGTCACGACCAAATAACAGCGTTCTTTTGCAAAGTACGGTCCTTTATTGCGCGGTTTGAACACACAGCACAGTCAACTTTTTCGAAAAGGGTGACAATAGTATTCGTTGGTTTAAGTCTAGGCATGGGTCCTGGGCATCGTTCTTCTTTTTCCTCTTCTTCTCCTTTATGTCAGATTAAAAGACATTCTCCTCTTTCTAAAAATATGGATGCACACATAGACACATTGAGAGATGTGCACACACAGACACATAGAGAGATGTGTGCATACAATCTGTGCTGAATGGCTCCAAAACCAAATGATGTGAATTATTTTTTTTTTCCCAAGCGGTTGAAATATTATTTCTCAAGCCTCTGGGAATGTGACCCTGAAAATTAGGAGACTGGGGGAACACCGCTCCCAAACCCATGACTTCAGTTCGGCAGCTGACCCGTGCAAATTTGTGCAGCTCGGTATAATCAACCCGCAGCTACATCGAAAAGGCTGAATTTAAGCGTCGGTCCTGAGCCAATTTACTGGGATGCCTCGGGTACCTAGAGTGTAAGAATAATTCTCTTCCCTTTGTCTCTTTGCCCTTTCATTCATTCATCCATCCGTTCATTCAGCCAGCCGCCTATCCATCCATCTATCCATCCATCCATATGGATGAGTGTAGCATCCTACAAGAGCCTTATCTACCTATAGACCAGGCTGCTGCTTGGATCCTGTTTGCCCTTCCTCATACACTTCCGACAAAGCCGGGTTTCCACAAGCCCCGAAGTTCCTGGGGAAGGACCCCAGCCCCTCTCCGGCTGCAGGACCGCAAGGAAGCCTGACGACGGAGCAGAAGTTTTCCTAAACGAAATTGAGAGACGGAGGGATGCTGAAGGCTCCCGCTCGCAGCTGCGGGCCCTGGGCTCTGCCCGGGCCCGGGGGAAGCGCTTACCTCACATTCCTCATACTTGATATTATCCGTCAGTTTCCAAAGCATTTTCATGGATTGGCGTGAGAGAGAGGATTTGGTTCTCCCTGCCTTGCCTCTCCCTACGGTGGCGGTGCCGGGCGGCGTGGGGAGCGCGGCTGGCGGAGGCTGGCTCCCGTCCGCGCTCGGAGATCTCCCTCTAATGGTGGAAAGTTTTTCCTTTTCCAGCTCTTTACCCACAGTCTAATCGCCTCATTAGCATATCAACAACAGCCCAATTGCTCGCCAGCACAACAACCTGCAGCGATGGACACAGGTAGAAAGGACCCACGAGCAAGAAAAAAAAAAAAAATAAATTAACGGTGAAAAAAAAAGCTTTCTCCGACCTGCCGAGCCCTGGTGCGGGGGACAGCGGGCCCTGCCTCCCTGCCTGCGGGCCGCCGCTCCCCTCGCGCCTCTACCTGCCAGCAGATAAGTGGCCAGCGAAATCAAAGAGGCGACCGTCCCTTCATCTGCAGAGAGTTTGGAACTAGCCATGAAGCCACCCCATGGGATTTACCTTTCCGTCCCCCCCTTTTTTTTTCATGGAGGTTAAAGAAACCAAAGCAAGCAGAAACGAGACTAGAGTCTTGCTCGAATGAAGTTATTGTCTGCGGAGGCTTTTGTTGCCCTCTGGATTTGATTTGATCTTTTTTGGTGGACATTTGAAAAGCTTCTTTCCTTCGCAAACTATTTTTTTTTCTTCTCGGCTCTGTTGTCTATATGTCTTCAAAAAAACACCACCCCAAACAAATCCAGCATAACCTCCCAGATAAAAGTGGGCGAGTGGTAAAGTGAATGAAGCAGGAGCAAAAAAATCTTTTGCAAGCACTTGAGCAAAGGGATGAAACAATGACCACAATAAAACTTTGGCACTTTCTTAGGTGGAGCGCTTCTTTTGCTTAACACTGTGCCGCTAAGCGAGCGCTCAGTCCACCCTCCTGGGGGGCTGCTTCTCCACCCTTCTCCTCTTTTATTTCTCCGAGTGCCCAACCTTGATCCATCCGCCGAAAGGCTTCGTTTTTCTTCTCTTTTTTTTTTTTTTTTTTTCCTTTTCCCCTCCGGGTGATTCCGCTCTGCTCCGAAGGGCGAGGCATTCCCCTCTCCATGGGGGTGGTGTGTCGGGCCTGGCGCAGCTCCCCGCGCTAGCCTTGCCCCCAGGCGTCCCCAGGAGCGGGGCATTCCCATGGCTGCCCGTGCACCTGGCTGCCCTGCTGCTCCCCGAAACTTCTTTTGCCAATGGCAAAACCTGCCCTGTCGGCTTGGAAGACCCTCCCAGGGCCACCCCCCGACGTCGGAGGAAAATGTACTGCCTCCAGGAGCAAACGGCCCCAGCACTCCGCGGGGTAGCCGCAGTGGGCCCTCGGGGGTCCCTGCACACGCCTCCCCACATCGGGAAGGGTGGCAAAGCCCCAGGGCTTCCGGGACTGCTTCTTCATGCACACACATATCTGTGTCCCCAAAACCGATTTTTTTTTTTCCTTCCCCTTCCCTCCTCCTCCACCATACCCCCACCCTCGACGCTCTTTTTCAGCAGCGCTTTTGTCTGACACTGGCAGGAGAGTAAATTGTTGGTTTTACTCCCATTGAGGTTCAAATAGAGCTGGCAGATTAAGCCTAGTTAATGCCCGGGGGAGAGTGTGTGTGGGGGGAAGAGATGAGAAAAAGAGGAGGAGAGGAGTGTGACGAAGGGGCCCATCGCCCCTTAGCGCCGTCCTGTTGGAACCAGGCCCGTCGGGAAAGCTTCCCACCCGGAACAAACTCCCACCCGCGGCCTCCCGGGACTCCCGTGGGCCAAAGGCCTGACCCTTGTGCTTCCTCTCCCTAGGCCCAGGCTGGTGGGGTGCAGGCTTACGAGGGGAGGGGGCGGCTTTCCCCAAGAGACGCACACGGGGCAGCTGGAGGCGAGTCCGAGCGGACCGGCCCCTCCGGCCAGGCACGGCGAGGAGGGCCCCGCAGCGCCGGGGAGAGGGAGCAAGGAGGGCCGGGGTGTAAGGAAAAGTCGGGAACAGATTTCAAGGCAGATAACCCGTAAATAAGATTGCACAAGAGTTGACTTCAGTTAAAGAAAGAAAATCCTCTTTTGGTCGCTTTTTCGCACCGGTTTGATAAGAAAATGTCATCTCTAACTGTAAAAATAATTTAAATAGTTTAAAATATATTTTTCTTTACTGCATTTTGTCGTGTCGTCCCCCACACCTTTTTTTTTTTTTTCTTTTTTAGACAACTTACTGCTACCCTGAAGAAAAAAAAATTAAATAAGGCAGTCTGGAGAAAGACAGTCGAGCAATTTGAAAAGCTGAGGGCAGAAAAAGAAACTAGGCTCCCATTTGGAAGTGGACTAGACTGTGCCGGGGAATAAACAGAAAATAAAAAAGAAAAAAATCCTTTCCGCTAAGAAAATCCCGAGTGCTTGAACAGAAAGATTCTTCTTCCCTTTTATTCGCCGGCGAACCGCGGCCATCCGGACGGGCATTAGGGTGCCGCAGGGTTTTTCAAGTGTCTCCCGGTCTGAGAACCTCTGTAACTTCACACGTGCCGTCTCGCCCGTGGTGCGGGTGGGTCCCCTCGGGACCGTGGGGCCGGGTGAGGCCCCGGCGGGCCGCGTGTTCCCCATCCGACCTCTTTTGCTGGTGGGTTCTGCTTTTCCCTTGCAGCTTATCCGAGCGGGAGTGCTTTCCGCGGGCGCTCCCGGCATGTCTACCGCCTGGTGGGATCCGGCAGCGTTATTTTACCACGGGACGGGCTCGGGTGGGACCTCTCAGCGACGTTGCAGCCCCCGCGGCACGTCCCCGATGCGCGGCGGGCCCGCACCGCGCGGCCCCGGGTCACGGCGGCGGGCGCGGGCCCTGCCTCTCGTGGGGACCCGCCACGCTCCGTGGCCCCAGGGCTCCGCGGCCGCCGCCAGCCCCGGACACAGGGACGGCGGGCGGGCACACGCCACCCTTGGCCGGCCCACGCTGCCGGGCAGCTCACGCTGAGGTTGTGACACCCACGGCGGCGGAGCAGCCCTCGCCCCTCTCGACCCTGGTCCACCTCTCTCTACCTGTTGCTGTTGGGCCTCACCAGTGGCCGCGGGCAGCCCCAAGCACCAGGAGCCTCAAAATGCCCAACCCCGGCGTCAGGCTTGCCCCCACTCCCTCTGGGCCAGTCACTTTTCTCGCTCCAGCCTTGCTTCCCAAAATAACAATAAATGCCCCCGGGGCAGGGGGTCGCCTTACCTGCCAGTCCCCCATTTTGGCAAGGATAGACATCCTGACTGCGGGCTCCGAGTCCCCAGGTCCCTGCTGGTCATGGACTGCGAAGGCAAGCCACTCGCCCGGGGCGCCTGTGGGTAAATCCTCCCCTTACCTGCGCCGGGACTCTCTTACCTGGCCATAAAGAGCTGGGTGCTCCCTGCCCGCGCCTGCGCGCTGCCTCCGCGCTGCCTGCGCGCTGCCCCCCGACACCGCGCTCCCACGGCTCCCACTCGGACCCGCCGCTCCCGGGGGGCACCGCCATCGGACCCCCGGGGGGCTCCCGGCCATGCCCGGGGCGTCCTGCAGCCGCTGAACCCGTGCCCGCTCCGCTACCGTCTTACTCCCTCAACCCCGTGCAGGGAGACCGGGTGCCCGGCCGCGGCCGGGGTGGGGGCGGGTGAGCCCCCCATCTTCACCTTTCCCCGGGTAGGTTGCCTCGGGGGCAAGATGTCAGGGAGTGCGTGCACGTAGTAGTAGTAATAATAATATTAATAATAATTATAATAACAATAACAGTAGCCAAAAAAGAGAAAGCACCGCAGGGGGCTGAACTAGCCCAACTCGGTGATGGAGGCACTGCAAATAGCCGGGGGAGTCCAGGGAGAAACAAAGACACCCTCCGGTGCAGATGGTCTTCTCAGACCCCGGTACGCTGGCCGGGAGAGGGCGGGTGGCAGCGGCCGGGGTGCTGCAGTACCCGGCTGGCCGGGCTCTGGGCTGCGCGGGAACGGTGCGGTGTGAGGGATGCTGCGTTCCCCCGGGGGAAGCTGGCCTGCGATAGCCTGTGGCCCTTGGACCTTTCCGTGTCCGCACCCCTTGTCCTCGCCCATGTTTTGGTTTGTTTGGGTTTTTTTTTTTTTCCCCTCGGGGATTCAAGTGCCGAAGTGCCCTGGAAAGTCGCCAGGGTGTAACGCTGATTTCACACTCCGAAAAAGACAGGAAGCCCTTGCCTCATCTCCAGGGGGCTGGGCACTGGGGGCTTGGGGGAAAGCAGTACTCCAACTACAGGATTTTGGGGAACGATGCAAACATTTTCCACTTCACAGTTGCACAGCAAGCCCTTTGCATTTCAGACACAGGTGAACGGGGCATCATGTCCCAGGAATGGGACAGTTTGAGGCTTCCTGAATGTCGAGGCGCATCATGTTGGGTTAGGTCCTGGACTGGTCCCAGTCTCCAGTAGAAGGAAGGGGAACGCACCCCCTTGCCCCTAAGAGCCTGGGAACAAGGACCTTACAGAAGGAAGTTCCAACCCTGTCTCCAGGCAGGTGGGAAGAGGAAAGCGAGAGCCTGCACCCGCAGCCATTCGGCACCGGGGGAGTGCCGGGGCCGCGGGCAGTTGAATTGTCGGCTCCTGGGGGGGCTCCGCTTCTGATCCACCGCCCCGGCCATACGGGATTGGCGGGGATCGGCGGCTTCTGCGCGGCGGCGGGGCGGGGCGCGGTCAATGGGCCGTGCGGGTCGCGCTTCGCACCGCCGCTCCCAGCGCCGGCCCGCGGTGTACAGTTAGTGTCAAATTACAGCAATTAACCGGGCACCGGGATTTAATTACCCAGCCCTGCCCCTTCCCCACCTCTATCGATCCTGGGGAGGGTCCTGTTCGGGGACGACGCGGAGCAAAGACAGTCCCGTGCAAAACGGGAGAGGGATGAGGACGATTTGCAGAGATTTCGCAGCTCTGAAACCCTGCTGCCTCTCTTTTCTCCTCTTGACAGTCTACCTGTCCCTTCAAGTCCTCTCCAGGAGGCGGCAATTTTGGCCCAGTAACGATTATTTAAAATATTGCCTTTATTACTATTTTGGGGACAGGGGTGGGGAATTAATCCGATTACAAACTGGCCTTCAGCGAAACGTCCCCAGTAAACTTGGGGGCCATGTTTCTCCAGGTAGGATCTTTCCCTTCTCCCTGGCTCCAGCGTTCCCCACACAGGGTTAAATGTCCTGGGTCAGGACTCAGCTTTCACAGTCCGGCTCTGCCCCGCGGTACTTGGCAGAGAGGCGGCCCCAACACGGCCAGCCCGTGGGGCAGGAGTCGAGCTTTCGGGGCTGTGGGCAGCCCTGGCACGCATCAAGCTGATCCGTGATCTTTTTTTAGCCTAGGGAAAGAGGGCATGGGCTGGACGCGCTGCAGTGTCTGGGGTTGTGGGACACCCCTTTCCTCTCCCTTGGGCATTGGTGACTGCACTTCAGGAGTGAATTCGACTTCCCTTACCCGGGCGTTTAGAGAACACCTTTCCCTCGCAGCCTTGAGGGCAAACCTGGCCCGTGTAGGGGACTGAAATCGCCGCACCCTAGGCTACTGTCATCCCTAAATTGCCAGCTGTGGCTCGTCCTGCCTGTCCTGCCGCCTGCCTCCTCCTTGTGCAAAAGGAAGCTGAAGCTGAGTCAACTTCTCTCCACAGTCTTTTAGCACAAAGACAGATGCAGCTTTTCTATTTTTTTCTTTTCCTCTCCCCTCTATGTCACACCGTCTGGTTCACAGCTTGGCAGTGATTTTGGCAAGTGAACCAGAGAGAGTCATTGCGGAACTCTATGCCTCTGAGTTATTTTCGATGGACGCGCCGTGTGTCATAGCCCGGGCAGCAGCCGGGGCAAAGCCCTGCCCGCTCCCCTTTCCCTCCATCGGCAGCATCCTTATAGCCAAACCCCGCCACACCTCTCTTCCTAGCAAGAAAGTAGAGAAGATATGCTCTCGGGGGGCATTCCCCTTCCCGGCGTCGAGGTTCCCCAGCCGGTCTGAGTTACCGACAGGTCCTCTCACCCCTGAGTATCCCTACCAGACGAGCCCTGAGCTGCCGGACAGATCTTTCCTGCTCTTTCCTCTTGTTCTGCCTGCCCCACCCCGGGCGAGCCTCAAGAACGGTGGGATAAACGCGGCTCCCGATTTACTCTGCTGCGAACTTAGAGTTGGTTATTCTTCTCACTGTTACTTTTCCCTTCTCCCTGCCCCAGTACCGCCCGGCTGGGGAGAAGCTCAGCGCGGCTGATTTCCATCGGCTCACTGCCGCGTAAATAGATTTATTTTTTTTTCCTAGACTAATTTTTGGCAGTGGCCAGTCGGCGCCCGTGGGGCCACTTGCAGCCCAGCCAGCCCCAGGGCCGGCAGCGGCGCCGCTCGGCTCCGTCCGGAACAGATGCTCCAGAGTAGACGCGCGTCTTCGGCCGGCAGCGGGGTGGGCTTGCTCTCCAGCGGGGTCGGGATGAAGAGCCCCCCCGCCCCGTCCTCTGCCCAGGCTGAACTCCCGGCGTCGGTATTTTCGGAGGGAGAAAGGAGAGGTTCAGGTTGGTGTGGATCTACCTCGGCTCTACGGAGTTGGGGGGAAGGGGGACTACGGCAGCCCCTGGGATGAGGTTTGTCTCCACCCTGAGCACGAGGAGTCTTCTCGGCCTCACCTTAGAGCACAGAGGGGAGTAGAAGGAAAGAGGCAAACCCAGACAGGACATAAAAACAACCTCAACACTCCAAACCCTACAAAACAAAAACAAAAAGAAAAAAAAATACAGACAATCCCCGCCTTTCCTCGCTCGCACTTTGCGGTCCAACATGATTCAATTAGTCCTGGAAGGCCGGTGCCGTAGAAGGGGAGGTGCTCCGTCTTGGGTGTTAGCGGAGAGGCTTTTCCACGGTGGATTTGGGGGTTTGTGCCTTTGTTTTTATGCCCTGCTGCGGGGAACAGGGCTCCCCGAGTGGGGTCTCAAACTTGCGGCCAGTGGATCCGGGAAGCCCATTCCGCGAGCGACTTGGGATGTTGAGAAGGAAAGAAAAGAAAGGATAAGAGAAGAAATCCGTACGTGTCCGCCTGTGACCGCCTTGTTCACTGTGCTGTCTCCCGGCTATTCATTTTAGTAGAGTTTGGTTTTTTTTCAAGCCCGTTTCCAACGGGAGAGAAGCTCACCGAGTGCAACAGGTCGATTCAGTCGCTCCCAGGACCTCACGAAACTAAATGCCCCTTCTCTGCCCTTCCCACTCAGGCTCCCCCCGTCGCGACTTTGCTCGACGACACACTTTGGAGGGGCACGCGGGACGTCCCGCGTGGAGAAGACTCGGAGCTGGCGCCCCTGCGCAGCCTCCGCGGAGGAGCGGGAGGAGGAGAATGAGGACGCTTTGCCCCTGAGTTACGACACTGGGTACCTCTCCGCGCGTCCTCTGCCACCCCCCTCACACCCCACACCCTCTCCCAAGACCTCCTTGACCCCCGGCCCCGCTTTTGAATCCCCAGTGTTGTCAGGTCTCCGATCAGATTGGAAATCAGCATATAAATAGCTATAAATGCATATAAATAGCTATTTTTTTCAATGTCAAATGATGGGGCGGGAGAGGTGTACGAGTGCAATTTTTTTTGGAGCGAGATAAAAACTCTTTTTTGGGGGAGGGGGAAAGAAAAAACAAAGTGGTTCCAAGAGGCAGGTGGCTCTCACCTGCTCCTTTAATATTTATTTGCTAAACTAACTACACCAAAGCAACTAAACAAGCAAAACCGGCAAGTAATCAAGAGTTAAAACTGAGCACACGCTGTGGCGCCAATACAATCCAGTTACCGAAGTCTCGCCGGTGTCTGCGTGAGCAACCCTATGGTACAAATTCCAATGTTGTAGACCTCGTAAAGGTGACAGGTACATTCTGCTTCACCGGATACCTCTTTCTCAACCTAGGCCCTTTAGTGCTGGGTACTGTCATTGCCATCTCCAGAAAACGAGCTTCTGAAAAGATCATTCCTATGAATAAAGCATTGGTGGGGTAAAACTCCATGCTTCATTTTTTTTTTTTTTTTATTACTCAGGGAGTAGTTGCATGGTCTCAAATACGAACGTTAGTGAGGATTTTTTTTTTTTCTTGCAAAGTAGAATAGATTCAGGCTAAAGCCACCAAGTACTTTTGTCTTTAGAAAAATAAATCTATCCACTGTAAGCATGTCAAGGTCTGTTTATTTGGTCACTCCATCCTGGTTGCTTTTTTCTATTATACATTTCATTTTCTAAACAGACAAAACCCACCCAGTTTTAAGAAAATAGTTGCATTTGCAGCTCGGACATAAAATTGGAGTATTTTCTGGGCAATTCGGACTGCTCATGTGTCCTCCAAAAAACTTTTGCATTTGAAACACAGGCAACTATTTTGCCAGCAATCTCATAGCTGTAGTACATTGCAGTTTTACTGATCATGCCACCCCAAAATAATTACAAATATGTTTTATTTTACATTTCTTTTCAGTTTTCATCAATAATATTGTCACATGAAATTCAGAAAACACTATGCTGCCTAAGGTCCTTCAATGTGTCCTGCTTGATCAAAGCCTTATTGCTAATTATAAGTGTTCTAGGAAGGGCTGCTTTTCTCTAGGCAAAGCTTCACTGCCTTCACTACCCCCCTGCCCTAAAATCCACTGATGCAACTGCACACATCCACCCAACTGCAGATATCCTGAGTACGAAACACAAGTTACGCTCCAGCGTTAAGTCTCTACATCGGGAGTTTTGCTTGGATTAAGATTTCGAAACTGAGCCCATAATAAGATATGCCATAAAACCTCAAACAACCCTCCTCCCCCAGGGATATTTATCTTACACATTTAATTGCCCAGTAAAATAAATTCTGTATGTATACACTTATATGGGAAAGATTTTGATCTGGTAATTTCAGTGTATCTTCTGATCTGTATGTAGCAGCTTAGAATGACATGCTTAAAAAGTGTGGAGAAGCAGAAACTGTGCCCTGCTAAATAACGCCTATTCAGCTGCTAAATATTTACACATAGGCAGGAATGAGCTTTCCCTGTAATGCTATCTCTTAACTCTATATTAGCATTCAAGAAGAAAAACAACTGCAAGTCATTTAAGCATAGGCCAAATCCCTGCTTCTGCTAAAGCAAATAACAGAGCTCCGCTGACCTGCACGAAGCAGAATGGAGCTCCTTCATATTACCTCCATGTCGTATTACACTGTCGTTTTTATAATGATTTCCCTCTCAAAGCACTTGCTACAGCACAATAAGCTTCAACAAACCCTCAAGAAGTGCAGTGTTATTAGTTTATCTGCTTTACTGATAAGTAAACTGATGCAAGGGGAAGATAAGGAATTTCCCCAAGGTCTTGCAGCTGGTTTGCTGAAGATCAAGGAAAGGAAAGGAGACTAAGAATTGGGACTGAACTAACCACCAGAATAATATCCACTTCTCCTACTGCTGATGGCAACATTGTTCCATAGTCAGAAAAGAGATATTAAGAGGAGGAGCAGGCAGTCGGGATCTCCATTAAACAGGTAATTTCCAGCCAGATACCTAACTGTGCTATTTGATAGCTAAACTTGAGCACTTACATTTGAAACTCTCAGCTTCTCCAATGATACTTTGGTGTTGTGTCCTGGCATAATATGATATAATGGAAGTGGAATTTCATTCTTTAGTGCATTGAATAAAACACCCTAATAAGTCATGCTTTAAAAACAAAGCCTGGTATTACCCACAGCAGAGTTTAAATAAAATCTACTTTAATATTTCTATGCTAACATTGGAACTGCTGTCTGCGAGGCATATATTTTAAAGTGTCGAATAATTACAAAAAGACATATTACTGGAAAATGGCTGTTGGAGGCTCTGACGTCCAAACCAAAATTAATCTGCACCAAAAAAATCTTTTAAGTAATTTTTTTTTTTGAACAAGAAACTTCCAAAGCTGTACTCTTTAATCTAGCCCAGTTTATATGCAGCTGCAATACATTTAGCCTTTAACATTAGCTCTAGCCATTGTCCTAGCACATGTCTACACCCCACAACACTTTATGGTATTAAAAGCAATGCTATAGGGCTGGAGCAACTTGTCACTAAGATATATATCACTCAGTGGAGAGCAAAACAAAACAAAACAGCGAACAACATGTGGGTGGTTTTTTTTTTTTTCTTTTCCCATGACAGCTTATATTAAGGGTTTAATTCGCTTGGCTCAGTCGTGTTTATGTAGTATTTTATACCAAAATGTCCTGCCTGCCTCCTGCTTGACAACTGTGGAGTAAAACCTCTGGAGGTGAGTTAAAGAGCAGGCTGTGCACTGGATAATCTGGTATTATCGTTCCATAGAGCCAGCGAAGGAATACCAGCCCGCTATAAGTATAATCTAATCACAGTCAAGAGCCGATGTAATCGCCCTTGCACCCAGCCTCCTCCCTGTGTCAAAAGGAAACGAGGGTGCGGTTGGAGGTTATGGCTGTCGTGCACCTACATTACAGCTGTCCTGGGGATCTTCACCTTGGTGTCCATTCCAGCAGCTGCTGACATCACCATGCCAGATCCAACTCACAAGGACACACTGATGAGACAGAGAAATTCAGACCACCATCTTTACACTCGGGAATGCAAACAGTTTAATAGCTTGGACACAGGACAAACAAACTTTTTATTTTCCAAAGGGTGGTATTACCAGACTGATATAATGGCACTCTTCCAAAGGCATCTGGGAAATTTCTCCAGAACAAGTTTGAGGCCATGCTTGCAAGTGCCGTGCAAGGACAAAGCCACGCACCAGCCCCCCACAGGAATCAGACCCCCACACCTGGGCACACCTCATCTCTCTTTAGGACTCCCCTTATGAGAGGCACAGAGTCATTAGCAGCCAGTAGCCACCCAGCCTGTTTACACCAGGCAAGCTTAAGCGATTGCGAAGCCCCAGTGCGTTTGCAAATTAAATCAGTCTTGAGCTGATGAGCTACTCCCTTAAAGCTGCCCGCTCCGGAGCGGGAGCGAAGCCCTCCAACTGCACTGGCTGAGAAGTGATGTAGAAAAAAGGCTTAAGCTTCTTTTTCTAAGACTTTGGCGCCCCTGTGTGTCTCCTTTTCGGGAAATTCAGTTGAAGAACAACCCCAGGCTTTTCTCCCTCTTACCTAGCACCAGAAACACCGCACTCAAAAGTGGAAGAGCTCTGTGAAGACAGCCTGGACAATATTACCCAGCAACTTGACCCTAATTTGAGCTCTGCCATTTCAGCTCCTTACCTCTTCTACTTTAGATGCTGGAATTACCTCCTTTGGCTACTTTATCCAAAATGACTAATGTCTTTAAAGCTCCACTTCCTGGAGTCATGACATTTATCATCAGCTTTTTACATACCTGTACCTCCCAGTATGCATGAAGTCCAGACAGGAAAGAGCCTTAAAGACAACAAGTTAAAAAAAAATCAAATCATTTGAAGTATCTTGGGCTCTCAAACATCAGACTTACAAATTGTACAGGAAATACATGGGAAATACATGTCTATATCTCTGCACCAGGGTTGCAATACAAACAATTTTTCTTCAAAGGTGAAGGCAGAAACTGAGGAAATTTGGCACAAAAATTTAGCAAAATCCAAAGAGGAACTGTAAATATTTTTCTGTGAGGTAGTTGACATTATTTATCCCGTAACTGGAACACAGATAAATTAAGTAAACTGCCTCAAGGTACAGCGATGTGGCAAGACAGCTGGACACAGAGGAAGGAAACCCAGTCAGCCCAAGTTCTGGCAAGATTTACTCTGTTGGAGGTCCTGGTATAAATGGGCTCTGCAGAAATAAATTTCCTAAACCTTTGGCCCTTTCCTGTCTTCCAGCTGTCGGTCCTTATTTAAAAACATGTAAGAGATGTGCATGTCTGAGGGGCGCGGTGTTTATTTGGGGCAATTTAGAAAACACACACACGCTCTGCAAAGTGTCATTGGAAAAATATGGCATGCAAACACAGACAGGCTATCACTTGCCCCAGAGTCAGCATCACCTGCTTTACACTCAGCCTCACTAACCTGGAACAGGCCCTCCTCTCCTGACACCCTTACCTGCCTTTAGACAGATGGCCCCAGCTGTAGGCATGTAAATGTAGGCTTGCCCTGCCTATATTTATGGGTGGGTGGTTACCCTGCCTTTGTTTCCCACCTGGAGTGATTATTACTCCTTTCTCCATCTCTTCCATGATAGTCTTCCCTGTCAGAGGTAAATCTGGCCCCTAAGGCAACAGCTCACCACACTAGGGAAAGCTATCCCAAAAGACATCTCCTCTCTGCTTCCCCCTCATTTATTTTTCTGTTTCCACTCTTCCCATCCTCTCACACAGCATCAAGTTGCCCCAGCAAAGCTTTTTGTAAGGCACACTGCTGAACTCAAGTAG